GCCCGTTAAGCTTGGTTGATCTCGGGTTGACAAGATCAGCTTGATTAGTTGATCTTTCATCGATATGGTTTAGCCAACTCATACGGCACTCTGGTTGTTGATCTTCAATTCATGATGAGAAACTCTTGAGGCATCTGTCGATGGTTGGAGAAGATGTGGAACAGGACCTTCTCTGGGATTGATTTTACTAGATAGTAGGCTACCACATTAATTTGGTTTTCTTGTAGCATTTAGCTTGGATACTCTTTTGTTCTAATTTCTAGTTGAATGGTTTAGACTCAAATCACATGGTTCTCTTTTTTCTCTTTCTCGTGACTTAGTTTGTTTTTATCTTTGCTAACTTGGCTTGGACAACTTCGTTCGTTAAGTTAAACGCGCCACACATCTTCCTGTTGATGGGTCCACCTTTGTCTTACTCCTCCCATTTGGAACATTTTAAGATCAGTGCTTACACATTTTTTATTCACAACATGTAATCTTCAAATTTATATTGACTTGCCTTTTCCATAAGGTTGAGAATTTAGCTCGAATATTGATAATAGTTCGAAGATGACCAATTTTGGCTCGCATCCTAATGAACAAGCTAAACTACAAGTTGAAATCATGAATTGAATTTATTTCGAGCGAATCTCAAGCCATACATGAATCGGCTTGAATTGGCCTGATTTTTTTTTAATAGAATGCACAAATTGTAGGATTTTTTTTAGTTTACATTTATTTATTTATATTCATTAATTTTAAACCAATTCAATTAAAACAAGTCAGCTCGTTTCGATTTTCGAGCTAGAATTGATCCAAATAGCTTAATTAGAGCCGCTCCTTTAGATTCCAAGTCAGATCGAGCTTGGTTTAATTTCGAGCTGGCTCGAAATAAAATCAGTAACAGCTCTAAAAAAAAATAAAAATGGAAGAAAACGATTTGAAAAGGATTTGCTGCTCACCACTTTGTCGATTTAATATCAATCCTTATATTATATTATCCTAAATTGGAATAACTTATTGCGACGTTCTATCACATCTCGTCTCAATAACAATGCTCAAAGTGGCGTTTTCTTGATGCCATTTTCTTCGGTGCCACTACAGTTTGCTCATATATTACAATGCATCACCGTGTGCTTCCCCATGTCTTTCTCTTAAAGATCAGATTAATTAAATATTTCATGCATTCAGTGAGTTCCTTTCTCTCCTGCCTTTTTTATTTAAGTGTAAAAAAATCATCCGGTACTTCTCTCATAACTCATGCAGCTCTCAACTCCGACCTTTGCGGCCTATAGATGTTATTGCAACTCGTGACAAGCTATGATTTTCATGGCTCAAAGTTCATGTAGCTCTCAACTCTGCACTCTGCGACCTACATACGTTATTACAGCTTAGCACTGCGGCTTAAGTGACCAACTACGGCCTACGTGGCTCGGAGCTCGCACAACTATCAACTTCAGCCTACATGACTATCTAAGGTCTACATGATTTACGACCTACACAACTCCGAACTCGACCTTCTATGGCCTACGAACATTATCACAGCTTACTACTACAGTCGGTGTGACCAAATGCAGCCTAAGTGGCTTACAACTCCAGTAGATTTCCATTGTGACATATGTAGCCAACCAATGACCCTGAAGTAATTATCTACGACTTCGATGCCCAACTAGTATCACGACTTTCAACTACAACTTCTATGGCTAACTAACGTTACTGATAGTCCACAACATTCACGACGAACTACAACTTCCATAGCAATCAACTACAGGCTTCGAGGCTTGTTACGACTATTATTGTTTAAATACTACTGCACATGAACTTTGTAATTTCATCTTTCCCAACTTAATTAAGAGAAAAGTGTCTTTATATCCTCACAATTGCATAGTGAATTATTTCAACTGAGCCCGACCCCGTGGCCTATTCCCCTTTCCAGGGTTTACACGTAAGAAGTTAAGGTGTCTCCTCTTGCTACTCTTTTATAATCTAAGTGTGAACTATAAATAATCACTCTACTGCTGTGAATCTTCTAACACGCATTCTTCCCATTTTTTAAACCTTTCAATTGTTGATCTTCTTACTTTTAAATGACAAGTAAAGAGATAAAAGATTAAATTTTAGAAATTTCATTGTCTCAGATGAATGATCATAATTTTCATCATATTCGAAATAGTTTCAGAATATATGACGTATTTAAAGACTACAATATTATTGGAATCTAACTATAATTCGACGGGTATTTATTATCTGCCAATATACGAAGTAAATTGTACTCTTTTATTCCTAATGTACAAATTAATTTATTGTAAACAAAATAATATTTTATTTTTTGGGCATTTACATGCATACCACACAATTCTTATGTATTTTCATATGTTACACATTTATATGCTATGCAGATAAGCTTTAATTATCAGAATATATGACGTATTTATAGGTGTTAGATATGTAAATACAAAGTATGTATGAAAGTTTTCCTATATTTTTTCATGCTTAGTTCTATCATTTAGGATGCATCACTTTTCCCACTGGGTATGCGATAGAGTAACATCAAAACTCATGAAATGAAACAAACTATTAACTATCTTCTATTTAATACTTTATCATAGACCATAATATTATAAAGTATAGATTTATCGTTGATATACGAAAACGAGAGAGAAATAATGTAGAGCGAGAATGACAATCAAGAGATGATGATTGTGATATGAAAGACGTGCAATGGATGATAATCAAGATATGATGGTGAAACCATGACAATCAGTCAATAATAATTGGTCGAAGGTTGTCGGATGAAGATAATTTGATATCAATGGATCTGCTATAATAACCAAGGGAAAATATTTGAATAGTCATAATTAGGAAATAACAAACAAAAAAGGATAACTAGATAGTGATTAGAAGATAACAATTGAGTGCTGACAAATATGTAACAATAGGCAGATAATGGTGATCAGAGATGATAGTTAAGCTACAACAGTTTGTCAATGGTGGTTCTCAATATTAAGCATCGAGCAGGGTTTCAATGTTTTTTAGATATCCAAGCCCTTTCTAATTTCATGTCAGAGTCCCATTCATGTATAAATGAACAATAAAAATCTATTTGTAGCATTTGATAGTGGCATTTTGGCTATTTTAATCAAAATTTTAAAGTATTCTAATAGACCACTCATGTTGATTCATTTAATCATAAGCCTTCTAATAAAAACCTTTTTTTTGCTAATGATCTCAAAATAAAGTAATTTTAGGCGCATTTAGTTTCTTTTATTAAGAGATATGAAAGTACTTTAAGCATCTACGTTTTAAAAATCATTTAACAACCTAATTAATATTTTAAATTTTTAATCACACTTCCATTGGTTGATTTAGCCTCATTTGAATTTGGATTGAAGTATTTTCAGTATTATTTGATTTTTAAAAAAAATTAAGATGTTCAATCTATTCATAAACTTATGAAAATCAAAAGTCCAATGGTCATGAGTTTAATTCAATGGCATTTTATATGCTTCCTACTTTCAAACCTTGAAGCCTATGCCAGTGCAAAATATTATTTTAAACTTAAGAAAATTGTGGCATATATTTTTTGTAAGAAAATATGTAAGTATTAAAATAAGTCTAAAACATTAAAAATTGATTTCAAAAACTCAAAAATATTAAAATAAGCTTCTATAAATCCAAAATAAACCATTGGATTGGGCTGTGTCTGCAGACTAGAAAAATTATTAGGTGCTTAGCCCGCACCTGCGGATGGCTACTAGGAGGAGAGACAAAGGAGGGACCCCCTTTTTTCATAGGCTAGCTAGCCATTGTTTTTGCACATATTGATTTGACTGTTTTCTTATTTTATTTTATTTTTAAGAATAATATTTTTAAAAAATGCTCCTTTATAGAAAATATATAAATATGATATTTCATTACATAAATTCACTAAATAGTAAAAATATTAAACAATAATTCACTACTATCACTAGGCGATGCTTAAATTTTCCTTCTTAGGCTCTCATATTCCTTTCTATAAAAGCTATATATTGCCTTGCACATGTCGTGCATATTCCACAAGTAAACTTTTGTGACTCTTTATCAAGAGTACTAAAGTGCTATACATGGTTTCCAAAAAAGGAAAATTTTTCCTAATACTTCATTTAAAGACTCTTCTTGATCCTTAAAGCTTTCAAAAAAAAGCAAAATTTTCTTAGGAAATGTATTGAATAATTGCTAATCAATGGCTCCCTTATTATGTCATGATGATAAAAAAAATCATTTAAAATAAAAATGATAAATTTTTAATATATTTCTCTTTGCTAAGAAGTATAATTTATGCACTCCAACTCTTTATAATTTTTTATGACTTATAACATTATTTATATCTTTTAGTTTTAAGATTCTAAACAAAGAAGAATGCCAAAAAAATTTTGGCCTCTTTTCAAAACTCCAATTCCAAAAGATAATTCATTGATTTTTCCACAATCTTATGTCCAATGAGGCTACAACACAAAACACGAAAATAAGCTTAATATATTTTTATGGGACAACCCAAAATGTATGTTGAAAAGTAAAGCTCCATCATTCATAAAGTAAGATATTTACATACAAATCACCCAAAACAATGATATTTACAAATTAAACATTCAAGTGATTTTCCTGAACTACTGAACCTATGTATAAATTTACGCATGTGACGATCAAACTATTGAGAACATGATAAAAATGAAAAATATAAGTTGGGGTTTTATCATAAATTTCAATATTTGAGTGAGAGTTTGATTTGAAAAAATGAATGAAAGATGATGGTTGATTTGTAAATAGCCATTCTAAAGTGGTATCTACATAATTGCACCGATACCAATATCTTTTATGCTATTTGATTGTCGATTATGATTGTGAGTTTCCTGTGCCAATAGCGTTGAGTACAGCTTTTATATACCTTGGCACTTAGAGCATGATCATTCACGTGATAGTACTATCTAATTTAATAACACACCTTCATACACATTATACAAGTCATATATTCTCATTTCACTATAACTATCACTCTCAAAAATGTGAATTATTTCTAAAAAAATACATATGCACACATCCAACCCTAAACAAACATGAATCTACTGACCCTGAAAATATTACATATGTTTACATATCATACATATATAATATTTTTGCATGATCAGGACTAGCATCACTATTTAACAAAGAATTAGAACTAATTAATATATACATAAATATTGAACCTGATGAAAAATTTACGCATCACAATCACTGAGAGGATAGCAAGTGTCCTCGCCGCCGGTGCTCCACAAAAAGTGGGCGTAGTTGGCTGAATGGTGGCTGTTTCCGGGATCTGCAGAAATGGCTTCCAAGAATGTCTCCTCCGCCGCCTCCAAATCCTTCCTCGCCAACCACAAGAAGCTCGCATACCGACTCAGCGTCTCCGCCTCCGCCGGCTCAGCTCGTACCGCCCGCCTAAAATATTCCTCCGCCCTGTTTCGGCATCAAGATGGGGTTTTTACGTAAGTATCATCTAAAACATATTATTTTGCATTTTTAACAACTAAACACCGATATAATATATTTGCATGAACTTTAAGAATTTGATAAAAATGAAAAAGGAATATTTATATACATAGCACTCAAAACATTGATCTTTACAAATATGAGAGTCACTTTCATTCGAAAATTTTATATCAGGAGTCTATATGCAAAAATAAATCATGACTCTAATATAATTGAGTAATGTGTCCGGAAGAGGCAGATCATCAACATTAAAGAATAATTTTTTTTTTATTCAATGGGTCTGTAGTGTGACTAGGGCCGTCAAAACGGCTCGTTGTTCATGAAAAATTCATGTTCGGCTCGTTAAGAAGCTCGTGTTCCGCTCATTCGCTAAGTTAACGAGCTGAAATGAGCAGAACACGAATAAAAATTTGTTCGTTCATGTTCGACTCGTTTTGGCTTGAAATAATACTCATCAATTATTTATATATATATTATATCAATAATTGATGAGTAGTATTTTAAAAAAAATTAATTGACTATAAAACTACAAAGATTTATAATTAATTAAAATTATTAATTAAGAAAATAGAATAGAATTATTAAATTAGATTCAAATGATATTTTAATGTAAATAATAAATTTTAAATCTTTCCTTTACTCTTAACATTTTATAACTACGTGATTGTGGTTGTCAAAAAAAATTTTTGTTCATGAACAACTCGTGTTCGGCTCGCTAAGCAAACGAGCCGAACACGAGCTGGTTCTTGTTCGGCTCGTTTACAATCTTATGTGTAACATAGTTAAATCAAGCTTCTGATATAATATTTTTTCTTCATCGACTATTCAAAACTTCAAGCAAATATCAAAATTCATGATAATAACCCTGTCCATATTTTTCATTTTTATCAAATTCTCACTTAAAACAGATTAACAATGGCGATTTTTTTTAATTATTGAAAAGAGAATTTTATTAAAGCTTTTACCTCTCGTGGTCGCGGTGAACAGTGTAGAGAAACTGGGCGTAATTGGAGAGGAGCAGAGCATTGTCGGGGTTCTCGGCGAGTGCTATCCGGTACGATAACTCCGTACCACAATAAACCGATAAATCGTCCGGCTCGGCCACTGCCGTAACGCCCGGCCCCTGCCGTAACGGACGACACGAATCGCCGCAACGTATCGGGATCCATGAGCGCTTCGTGTCGCCCGTTTGCCCTGAGCATCTCTTTCGTTTCCCTTACCATCTTCTTCCATTCTGTGGCCACCTTCTTCTCGTCCAAAGTTGCCATGGAAATCACCTCCGGGGAGATCGCGCCTCCTTCCCCTAGTGAAGCTGAAGAGCGATCAGAATGGCCGTCATCGGCCGCACTCGCGATCGCCGGTGGCTTGCCGCCGCCCCCGCCGCTTTCCCGCCCGCGGTGAGGG